GGGGGGGGGGGGGGCTGAGGTCCGGCCAAGGTTCGGGCATGTCTGCAAAGGGGAGTAGAGGGGGTTTTTAAAGGGATCTGAACGCCCTGAGGCTGGATGCCTCGGCGAATTAGCACATACCTCTTGCGTTAACTGTTAGGTAGCTGTTATTAAAAGGGCATCACCTAAGCACGGCCCTTTCTTCTACCTTCTGGAGAATAAGATGCGTATTTCAAAGGCCACCAACAAAGTGGATGATCCCCATAGCTTTGAACCCTAAGGCTTAAACCCCAAACCNNAAACCCTAAACCTTGAACTCTACATCCTTAACCCCATGGCCGGCCCTTCTTCTTTGAGCTTCGAGACTCTAAGGGACGAGACAATTCTCGTGGACAGCGAGCAGGCCTCAGGGCTCAGGGGTCTGGGTTTTGGGATATGGGGTTTACGGTTTTGGGTGTCTGGGCTTAGGATTTAGGGTTGAGTATATAGGTTATATAAGGATATATAGGGTTGTATAAGGGTATGTAGCATCATATAGGTGTATGTAGGGCCATATAGGGGCGTATAGGGTCATACATGGGTATATAAGGGTGTATAGGGGTACAGGATTTTCCCTGGCATGCTGTCCTTGCAAGGATGTAAGAAGCACACCTTCAAAGGCTCACGCAAGCGTCCGAAAGTTGCTCTTAAAGTAAGGTACGATGACGCAACCAAAACTGATACAAGTCCAGGGACGAAGGATCCACAATCAGTAGAGGGCCTCAAAGATTACCTTATCGAATGCTAGTTGTAATAGTAACAAATAGTAAGAGTAGTACTAGATGTACTAGTAATAGGAAACATCATCATCACCATCACCACCATCATCATCAAAGTTCAAATAATAGCAATCATCATCGTCATCATCATAGTGCCCCTCGCTGGCGCCGTTAATATTCCCGATCTGCGTGGCTTCCAATACAGTACCTTTAGAGACTCTTCTAATTGCTAATGGGGTGGGGAGGGCTTTACGGATAAGAAGAGTACTAGGCAGCTACAGGAGTGCCGTGACCAAGTCGGGGGATTCACGCAAGCCTTATATGCCGCTTACGTAACTCCCCACAGCCCTTATACCCATTATGCACCCTGAACCTTAAACCCGAAAGCCTGTTCCCTAAACCCTAAAACGCGGTCCCAAGATGTCATAAGATGCCCTATGCCCTAAACCTATGCGCTAAACCCTAAGCCCTAGACCCTAAGCCCTAAACCCCTAATCCCTAAGCCCAAAATAAACACTAAGCACGAGTGCAGGGCTTGCCGGCTCTCGACCTGCTCCTCCTCGACATGGCAAGCGATGGCACCATAGGGCGTTTGAAGCCGAACTCGTGTGAGCCCAGGATGGGTGTATATATGATAAAAGTAAAGTAAATGGAACCTGTTATTAAGGGTTTAGGGTCAAGGATGTAGGGTGTAGGGTTTAGGATTTAGGGTTTAGGGGTTTAGTGTTTAGGTTTAGGGCTCAGGGTTTAGGAGTTGGGAGTTTCCCAAAATTAGGTGTGCCGTTTTTGGGGGTACCTATCATGAGGATTGTATTGGGGGGGGGGTCTATAGTGGGGTCCGCCGATTTGGGGAAACCCATTTATAGATGTAATTACACAATGTATACCTATATATATCTAGAGAGACAGAGAGAGAGAAAGAAAGAAAGAGGGTATACAGGGGCATACTGGGACGTCTATGGTCACGGGCTGTGGGTAGCGAATTAAGGCACACATTTGCACATAGATAGACAGATAGGTAGCTACATGGAGGTTGTCAAAAGTATGGTCTGTTTTTGGGAAACCCTAAACCAATATTAGAGGCCATATCACAACGGGGACCCCGCAAAAGACGGTTATTCGGTCAACCTGCCGGATATCGTAGAAAACTAGCAGCCACGGATGAAGACATCCAGGAAGTTGAGTGTTTAAGGTTTTCGGGTTTAGGGTTCAGGGTTTAGTGTTGAACTTCCTTGATACTATTGGTACTAGAAATCCTACAAGACCTTACCGTACTTTCGTGCCAAAACTCCCATGGTTTAGGATCCTTAGGTCCATGCGGGAATATCAGTAACCACCGTATCTCGGGCTACTGCTAGCCACTGCCTGAAGTTGCTATGCCATTCCTTGCGTGCAGCTAGTAAGTGCTACATCACCAGCTGGCTCTGAAACAGTGTAGATTCATTTTCTTAGTGCTGCAACACATGTGTTGCACGTAGCCTAGTGTTGAGCCCCAGTTTATGCACGATGCGGAGAGGCTGTGCAAGTGGGGACCCGGATAGGACAGAAGATGGAAGTGCAATTCCAATTTTTTCTCGCACCTCGCCCCTGCGAAGCCTGTGCTGCCAAGCGCGGCGCTCCGAGAAGCCGTTGGCCAGAAATGTGAGGGTCACAAGCCAAAGCTTTGAGACAGACTCGCAGGCAGACGTGGAAGCTCCAGGCCAGCACTTTCCCGAGCCAGAAAGCAAGAGATTTCGCTGCAGGCGACGTCGCGAAGGAGCACCGGTGCCTCGAATCGCAGGTGCAGGCCCTGGATTTTCAAAGGTGCGCAGCGCGAGGGCAGTCCTCCTTGTTCTAGCCCTGCTTCTGTTGCTTCGCCTTCGCAGCTACTTACCGCATCCAAACAGCTGGACGGCTCGGATGATCCTGCTGCCACTTCAGGCCATATGCAATGCCGAGTATACACTGATTGTCTTGGCTCCTGCGATCTGCTGGATGACACTTTACATCTGGAGCCGTTTGGAACTGCCAGAACAGAACGGCGCAGCCGGTCAACGCATCTCTCACATTCTCGGGACTAGCCTGTGGGTCAGCTTGATATTAGTTGCTATTACGGCAAGTTTTGGTGGCGATTTTTCAGTGCGCCTTGTGGCAGCACTCATCTATTTTCCTGCTGCAGCACTCTGGCTGGTGTATAGGAGCGACTGGTGTAAAAGCAGCCGCAGACTGATCAGCACGTGGGTTGTTTTCATTCCGCTGATCTTTGAGTACAAGCTCATGTACTGGTGGCTGCGATTTGCTAGCCTTGAGCAGGTGACGGACGCTTACAAGCCACTGCATGAAAAGTATGCGCCTCGCGTGCTTCGCCTGCTGGTGGATCAGGGCGGCATTTTTGTGAAGATCGGGCAGATGCTGTCCTTACTCCCTGCAGGGGTCCTGCCTGAGGCCCACGCGGTTTACTGTAGGGTTTAGGGTTAGTTAGAGGGTTTAGGGTTGAGGGTTAGGGTGGGATCCTGCCTGAGGCCTACACAAAGCAGTTCAAAACTCTTCAAAGCCGCGTGCCTCCTCGGCCCGGTTCCGAAGTGAGGCTGGGTTGCTGTTAAGGAAATCAAGTTAGGCTAAGTTACCATAATGGGTATGCATATATATATATATTATAATATGGTTTCCGCAAGATAGTAACTTAAATCAAGTTCCTCAACCCTAAGCCCTATATCCTTATATCCTCATATACACCCCAATTTACAAACCCCCTATATACCCTTATTATAGTAACTTACCCTAAACCCTAAACCCTAAACCCGCTATATATCCAAACCCCCTGATTTTTCCTTTATAGTAACTTGAATAAACCCTAAGCCCTAAACCCTAAACCCTAAAACCCTAAACCCTAAAACCCTAAACACTAAACCCTAAAACCCTAAACCCTAAACACTAAACCCTAAAACCCAATTAAGCTCCTTCAAAGCAACCCAAGAGGCGGCTGGTGTCGGAAGCCCTGGGTCAACCTGTGGAGTCGGTCTTTAGCCGCTTCGACGAGGTGCGTAGGGTTTAGGGTTTAGGGGGACTTAGGGTTTAGGGTTTAGGGTTCAGGGTTTAGGGTTTGGGGTTTGGGGTTTAGGGTTCATGGGGTTTAGGGTTCATGAGGTTTAGGGTTTAGGGTTTTGGGGGAGAGCTTCATCTTCTAAAACCGCGTGTGTACGTAGAGGTGATGTGGTGGTTGCCATAACGTAGGACCCAAATGACAGTTTCTTAAATAGGGGAACCCTAATATCTACCCAAAATACGATAATCCTGATTATAAGGACTCCCAATATGGTATACTAATTTTGGGACTTACCCCCCCCAAAGGAGGATACTCCTCACTATGGGGCCCTCCAGAGTCAGACCCCGCGTTGCAGACCCCCATCTCGCATGTCTAGCGATGATCCCATTTAGATCCATCATAAGGGTTTAGGGTTTGTCACACTGAAAGACCTCATATGAGCCATAGTCTAAACTCCTTAATGGGGGGTTATACGGAGGATTATATAGGGAACTACTATAGGGGTTACTTAGGGGGATACTAGGAGTTTAGACTACAGCTCATGTTTCGGGGTTACCATCATGCAGCAGCCTAAGTCCTTTAGTTCCGGTAGCTTAGGGCCTAGGGATCCTAAGTGCTGCTGGATTTCCTCCCTCAGGAGTACTTTTGCGAAAGCTCGCCCAAACTGGCCACCAAGTGTATACACACACAAAATTCCCAAGAAACCCTAGACCCATCGCAAAAAAAAGCCGTGGCACGTTGTATCCCCACAAAACTCTATACAGGAACCCAGATTTCATTTCATGTTCCATTTGCTCTCTAAACCCTACACACTAAACCCTCAACCCTAAACGCTGCTCCAGCTTGAAGCTTGCACAGAAAAGGTCCGACGGGGTTGGTAAGAGAACGAAGACTAAACCTTAAATCCAAAAACCCATAAGCATGCATCCTGAACCCAAGATGATAGTTTCCATTTTCTTTTCAATTATCCCGCAATATGCCCCATATATTCATGTATATCCCCTATGTAACTCCTAAGAATCCCCATATAATTCCAATATTCCCACATCTCTGAACCCTAAACCCTAAACCCCCGAACCCTAAACCCTAAACCTTAACCGCGTCAAGGTGCCCATTGGGTCAGCAAGCATTGGGCAGGTTCACCGGGCCAGATTGGCTGATACAGGGCGCGAGGTTGTTGTGAAGGCTGGGCCAGTTTCTCTAAACCGGTTTAGGGATCTAGGGATTTAGAGTTTAGGGGTTTAGGGATTTAGGGTTTAGAGTATGCGCGTGTTTTGCGCTTTCTAAACCCTGAACCCTCTAGGTGGTGGCTGGGATTTGGCGCTCAGGGCGGGTTTTCTCCACAAAACTTGGGTCAATCCCCCCTACAGTGATGGCCCCTACATATGGAATTAATAAGGCTTCAACATACCTACAATAGTCACTTGCGCTACCCTAAACCCTAAAACCCCAAAGCCCTGAAACCCTTCTGGGTGGCGTCCCTTATGGTACCCCATACCTATAACTGTGTATTTTCCTCACCAGCCCAAACATTGCAGTCTTCATGTCATGGGGGCCCCCCAACAAAACCTTAAACCCTAAAAAACACCCTAAACTCCAGCCACACTCAGTTGGATTGGACGAGTGCACGTGCAGGAAAACATATCCGGATAGGATAGTTTTACATTGGGTCATTCCCCCTAAAGTAATTGTGAAACTGTCCAAAAAGGGGTCTTGTTAAGGGGCTATTATAACTCCTAATGCCTGTAATGTTAACGGTTACTGCAAGGGGGGAACGGCCTAAGTTTTAGACCAACTATGCTCAACAGCCACCTTCAACTCCCCCTTTCTGCCTAGACCCTAAACCCTAAACACTAAACCTGAAGCCCTAAACCCTAAAGCACTGGTTAGAGAACTGAAGACTCTGCCATATGGCATCTTCGTAAGCTTGGCTTGTGGAGAAAAGGGTCCAGTAAAAAAAGCCTAGACCCTAAACCCTAAACCGCTTTCAGGTGCAGTATCCGGAGGTATCCCAAACAATCGAGTCGGATTTTACGAACTGTGAACGCCGGATGCCAAGCAATTGCGGTTTGCGGATACATTGATATGGGGGTTTAGGGCTCAGGGTTTAGGGTTTAGGGTTGGTGTGCTAGCAAGAGGAGCACTGGAGTGTTGTTAATCGAGATACTATGGCCCCCAATAATGGTGCCCAATAGAGAGTAAGATTTCTTCCGTTGAGTGATAAACTTGCTTGGTTCATGGGCTGAAAATTTCGACTCACCTGATGCATGCTAGCTTCATCATTCTGGCAGCACAATAGTGACTTTCTCTGCGCACAAGGCATTGTGAGGCTCCTGGACAGGACCAAGATGGACCAAGTTCGAGAAACGTTCCTCAGCTGCACTGGTAGCATTGAAGTGAGCGCAACTGCCTTATGTGCGGGCCCAAATGGTTATGAACTTTGTGGTTCTAGAGCTCTAGTATACCTTTGGTATATGGTGCCTCAAAAAGACCTCAACAATGATACTGGCAACTATTAATTAATGTTCATACATTACAAACCCTAAACCCTAAACCCGTTCATACATTACAATGGCTTGCATGGGACCCGTTCAGGAAGAAGCATTACATCAACGAGCTGGATTTCAACAAGGAAGCTCAGAACCTCTTGCGCGTTCGGGCTGGTCTCTGCAAGCAGTTCCCTGAGGTGCAGAGCTCAGAGTTTCCAACAAACAGGTTTAGGGGCTTAGAGGTTTAGGGTTTAGGGATGTTTAGGGGTTTAGGAGTTTAGGGGCTTCAGGATTAAGAGGTCTTCTGGTTTAGGGTTTAGGGTTTGGGGGTTTAGGGGCTTCGGGTTTAGGGTTTAGGATTCAGGAAATTATGCACCGTCGTAAGTTTCAGAAAACATTGTAGTTCACAGTGGTGCAAGGTTTCCTCCATCACCAGTGTTGTGTTGCATGACCCGAAATATTCTAATCCTAAACCTTAACCCTAATAGTCCTTATCAGAAGAAGTCCAAGGGATTATGAGAAGACTGTGGGGGTCCCCTGGAGATTCTACAGGAGCTCTTTAAGAAGCCCGAGCAATTTTCCACAAGTTTTGAGTCTTTTTTGAGGAGTCCGCATTATGATGCCGAAGGCTATATGAGGGGATCCTCTGTTTTGGAAACCCTCACCCTGAAGCCCGAACCCCAAACCAAAAAAATCAAGATAAAAGAGATGCTGCAACAAATGCAATAAACTTCGGACCCTTACCGCTTAACCCTCGTCTCTAAGCCCAGAACCCTAGACCCTACTGGCCCTGGCAACGAAGGTGCGCGTGCCAGAGCCGCTTCTGGAATTCTGTAGGCCAACTGTGCTGGTGATGACGTTCGCTGGATGCACAAGATATGTGGTTGTTTTTCTAAAGTTTGGGCCATGCACGAATGGCAACTATCTTGGTGCCGTGTTACAATCCCCCCAGAACCATCCCTAATTTTGAAAACAACATGCACGCTGACAATTAAGCAGTTTGTCTGGCCCTCCATCGACGTCTCAGATTCATTGGTACTTACCCTAAGCCGCAGACCTGTTAATTTGCTGGATGGTTAATTATGAGCCCCGAAATCTCCACATACCCCCTTATTCTTATATACCCCTTTATAGCAGTCTTTACTACCCATTGAGCTAAGTCCCAGCCAATTTAAGCAAACTCCGCACCCTGAACCCTAAACCCCAGCCCATCTAAGCAAACTCTATGTGTGTGACAATCCAAGGTACTTGGCAGGCAACTCACTCCTGGACGGTATCATGGACATGGCGCAGGCATGTCTCAGGGTTTAGGGTCAGGGCTTAGGGTTTAGGACATGGCGCAGGCAAGCATGAGGTGGAACTGCTCTAGGATGACGGGATTTACGAAATGTACCCTGAGCCCAATTTTTTCCGGGGTTATAGGGAGACGGTAATGTTGAAAGTAATTCACGTGACCATAGCATGCGCGATTGCCCGGCAAAATGGAGGCCTCTTGATTATTGCCTTTGCGCCTGTCACCTCAAAATGGGTCCTTTGAGAACTGTGTAAGTGGTGGTTTCCCAAAATAGGGGGACCCTAATATGGACCCCCACATACTATACTATATTCTTATAGAGACCTCCAAAAAGGTACCCCGTATGTTGGGTTTGGGGGTCTGTATGGTATTCCATGTGAGTTTGGGAGATGCTAAAACCTTCAATCCCGCATCCTATACACACCCGATCCCTATATACCCTGCTGCATAATCTACTTCATCTGGTGCTTAACAGCCCTTTAGCATCCCCCAGTCCTTAATGCTAAACTCTAAACCACTCCCCTACATAAGCCCAGTATCCGTTTCATGTTCCATTTTTCCAGATGATTCTCCATTGCCCCTAAACCTTAAACCCAAAGCCTTAATTCAATTTCTCCAACTTAAATTAACCCTAAACCTTAAACCCTTAACCCTAAACCCTAAGCCCTAAACCCTGAACCTTAACCCTAAACCCTAAACCGTAAACCCTAAACCCTAAACCCTTAACCCCTAAGGTAGCATAGCATTGTTTTCATACTCCAAGCTTTGCATCAGGCCATTGCCAAGATGCGAGGTAAGACCGTCGAGGAGATGAGTTTAGGGTTTAGGGTTTAGGGTTTAGGGGTTTAGGGGTTTAGGGTTTAGGGTTTAGGGTGGGGAATCATATATGTAAATATGTGGGGTTTCCCCAAATTAGGGCTACCATTCTGGGTGGTTTATA